GTATTTTGCATACGTTGTACACTTGCTTGCAACCTACTCGCGACCAACTCTCAAAAACTCTCAAAAAATCGATCAAAATTGTGCCAAACTCGCACCGAACTTGCTTCAACTCGGTAACTCGACAACGCTCTTTGGACACAAATTTGGGAGCCCACGGACCAGTTGCGCCTGATGACGTCATCCTGGAGGAGCTGCAGCGCCTGCCCGTCGAGGAACGTCCTGGCGTTATGGCTGCTCGAGGCCCCCAGCTTGCGCGGTGCTGCGCCTGACCCTGCGACGAGGCCTTTCCTCCCCCCACCCCCTTTCCCATCCCCGGCCCGCCCGGTTGAGTGGCCGTTGTGTATTTCTCAGGCCATAGCCGTAACTCGGCCCGTCCCGCCGCGGATACATTTGCGAGCCAATAGCTGCCGCTGCACGCACTTCGGTGTATGATAAAATTTTATGCGCGTTTCACCTACCCCCCCCCCCTCCCTCTCTCTCTTTCACTCACTTTCCCCCACTCTTTCACTCTCCCTTTCTCTGATTCTTTTACCAGCGTTCAACAGACGGCATTACATCACATGGTAAAAAAAACCGCTGAGAACAACAGAAAGTTGAAAGTACCCGCTGACTTGAACTTTTGGTGGGCTGAGCCGGGTAGCTGGACCGGCCGGGGTTCCAACTGGGTTGTACCCGCCGCCGGCGCAAGCTGGCCATCGAGGTGGGTATGTACTGCAAAGCGGGCCGAAGGCGGCAGGAGGGGGGGAAGTTTGCAAAGAGTAAGAGAGGGTGGTCGAGGAGGGGGAGGAGTCGGGGCGCAGACGAAAGTTCCTCCCGCACGTTAAATATCTCCGAGGAGTAAAGTAATTCCCGCGTACTTCCCGGCCTCGGCGGTAAATTTGCTGCCCCTGGGGCCAGTGCCCCCCCCCCCCTTTCCTCTTGCGGTCGAACTGGTCTTCCCCGCAGCGCCGCTCAGCGCACGAGGGCCACCGGTGCGGCGGCTAACCAGGCCGCAGGGCAGGTGCACCCGTGAGACTCGAGTCGTCTTGAAGTGCGGCAGAAGTCACGAGAGTCCGCGGGGGTAGCTCGCGGCAGGCTCGCGGTTCCATAGTGGAAGCTATATCCACGGACTGCGAGCTACCCCCGTGGCAGGATTCGCAAAACCGCGAGCCACCCTCGCGGACATAGTGGGGGAGCGACCCGTTCCCGTTGGCACTTGGAGAGCCGGTCCCCTGCGCCTGGTGGGTGTGCATTCTCGCGGATGGAGCCGTGCGGGCGGGTTGCATAGTAGAAGTGCGTGGCGTGAATCAGCCACCTGGCACAGCCGGCATCGACATCGAGAGAATGGGTCGCAAGCGGGTGGCCATAGTCTGGGTTCCCCCCTGCCCCCGCTGGCCCCCGCTTCGCTCGGCCCCGGGGACAACAACTCTTCGTTTGTCCTGCCGTGGCGCCCGTTCCCCTTCGCCCCGGCTCCGGTTAGAGGCGGGTTACGGGGGATGATCCGATTGCTGGGCCTGTGGTCGGCTGGGCTGGCTGCCACACTGTCGGCAGGTGAACAAGGCCGAACGCAATGTTGTTTCCGGTAAACACCCCGATACAATTCCCCCAGAGCAAAATAAATTGTTTTCTGGTCTCCGCTTGGTTCTCTTTCCGTATCGAGAGTAAAAAGCTGACACCTTAAAGTTACTTATGTATTCTTTAAGTTTATATTCAAATGGTTTCTAAGGCATCATCTGCAAAAAAACTCAACAGTAACCGACACAGGAATCGAATTTTGAGCTACGACAAATGCATCATGTATTGCCAAAATTTAAGAAGTAAGCTGATCTTCGTGTGATGGGAACTAAAAACGTGGTGTAGCGTATACGCTTTACAAGACAATCAAACCAAACCTATCAATGGAAGCGGTTCGCCGGTTCGGTGAGAAAACAACTGCAGTCGACTTTCTACGGATGGCTGACCGGCGGGGCGGGATCTGGGCGGTCATTCCCGCAACGCCACACCCCGCCACGCCCCGCCACGCCACGCCCCACTTCAGGCCACTTTAGAAACATTTCGAGCCCCGCCTCTCGGCGCGCCGAGCTCCTCCCTTCCCATCCTGTTGGGGTGCGAAAAGAGAAGGCGAAGGGGGCTGCTCCAACAACACCTCTCTCTCTCTCTCTCTCTCTCTCTCTCTCTCTCTCTCCCTCTCCCTCTGGCACTCACATTACCCAGCAGCCCTCTCCATTTCTCCCTCTTACAATGCCACAGGCATCTGCCCACCACACCCCGCCCCACC